AAAGGAGTCATGTCAGCTATGGTCAGTGTCCAAACACTCCTCCCACATGCACATTGGTGTTTCTTTCCTATTTCACCTTGGTTTGATTTCCAAGGGATCCTGCTGTTAGAGTTGATGGGGGCGTGTATTTGCATTTTCTTGTTTTCTTCATACAGAGGCCACTACCAGGATGTGAGAATGGCTCAGAGCCAAGCAGCAGGGGTGTGCTGGGGAGGAAGAGCACTTGTTTGGGAGTCAAGAGAGCTAGCTCTTGGCCCAGCTCTGCCTCTGACTTCCTGTGTGACTCTGGACAAGTCACCACCTTTCCTCATCTATAAAATACAGGTGTTGGGATAGAGAACCCACCAAGGTTTCTTCCAGCTGTCACCAATAAACATGACCAGGACCAGTTCAAATATTACACCCAGGAATTTAAGCAATGAGGCCGTGGGGTTGGGGTTGGGGTTGGCAGGGGCAGGGGGGATTATCTTAATATAGAAAGGCATCATCTGAGTGGTTCATGGCCTAGCGATGTTATGGATGGTCTGAAATTGTCTGGGTCTCTTCCCAGATAGACAGAGTGAGACATGGAAGAAGGTATGCAGCCAATTAGCAGGATGGAAGTAGCTGTTTGATTTTCTGGCAATGAAGAGTTCAAGTCAGTTGCATAAAGCCTATGCGGGGGTGAGGGGGAGTCAGTCCCCTTACCCGTCCCACCTGTCCACTCCCTTTCCCAAAGCTGCGCTCCTGGCCGCCAGCCTGACAGAACCCACCCTTGGCTTCCCTCAGATGTGCGGCATCGCCCTGACCGCAGAGTGTATCTTCTTCGTATCTGACCAACACAGCCTCTACCCGCTGCTTGAAGCCACTGACAATGACGACATCTATGGGGCTGCCTGGATTGGCATGTTTGTTGGCATCTGCCTCTTCTGCCTGTCCATTCTAGGCATTGTAGGCATCATGAAGTCCAACAGGAAAATTCTTCTGGTGGTAAGACCCTAAAACTCTCTATAGTTGTCTCCCTGGACTAGTTTTGATGGGTTGTTTCTTCTTCACTGAACACAATTCCTTTGGCTTTCAGTGGGGTAGGTAGGAGCAGAGAGAGCCAGGTGAGGGGTGAGAAGGAGGGGAAGACTCTCCCTGGAGTAAAGATTGTCCACCTGGAGCATGGATGCCCTCCTCTATTGCAAGTACAGAAGATTCCCGAACAGAGAACCCAAAGGGGAGGTGGCTGGGGGTGACCCTGTTGAGTATTTTCCAGATCTGTGCTTCTCCACCTGGTGTCTGCATGCGCTAAACAGGTACAGCCAGGAGCTACATAGGCCACAGGAGAGACATAGTGAGAACTTATTTGTCAGATACTTTTTTCTCTTGATAATAAGTAGCTTAAAAAATATTATTTTAATATTAATCAGGCATTAATATATTAGGATATAAAATACGAAATCCGCATGAATTTTTAAGAGAAAGCATATGCCTTTTCAAAGATTTTTTATTTCAAGGCTGATGATTTTGTATGGTGCCCCGCACTTCTCACATTACCATTCACTCTGCTTTTCAGGGACCCTAGAAAACCTAGATAATCACCAGTGTAGAGCACACCTTCAGCTCGCACCTGCCTGCGGAGGTTCTGACTCTGCACACATGCAGAGGCTTTGCCTCAAACAACAAACAGCAAGAGCACACCCTGCTTTTGCTGAAACAAGCAAATCTGCAGTCAGCAGAGCTGAGAAATCTCGATGCTGGGCCTAGACTCCCGCTCCCTGCCCCACACTCAGGGCAGCAGTTTCCCGTACTGGGATGGTATCGCCCCCCCCCGCCATGTCCCCACCCCTGCAATAACTCTCCTAGCCAAATGCTGCAGGACCCAAGTTCTTCCTTTACAGAACAAGTCCAGCAACTTTGGGGGCTTGTTGATTTGCTTTTCCTTGAGTTTATCGTTGTCCTGGCACCCAGATAATGCAGAACATTCACATTCTCTGGTTTCTTAGTGTAAGTTCCAGGGCAAAAGTACACACTTTGGGAGGGTGAGGAAAGACATGCAGGGAAAAGGAGGAGGAGAGGCAGGTGTCCCTAAAGACCACCTTCACTCGCATCCCAGCCTCACTTTGGGCCAGCCACGTGTGTGAGAGGAGAAGGCCGGTGAATCGCTGTGTGCCTGGCGGCTGCCTGCTCCCCCTGCTGAAACTGGATGCTCATCAGGAGGGACACCGGGTATCCAACAACAGCCAGTTCATCTTTTCCTGACCTCTTTGATTTTAAATTTCAGCAAACCAGAAAGAAAATTTCTCCCAGTTAGAGGGGATTTATGAGACTGTACATCATGCGTGATACACTAAGACTCTCA